AATCTGATATTCGGGACACAACTCCGCACAGAGAAACCGCCTTCTCGGTCAGCCAAGTCCCCGATTAATCAGGGATGTGAGTTTATCATTTGCCGTCTGGACTAGATTAGACGGATAGGTATTAACACTTGGGACATTTGTCTGGATTTCATAAAAAAATCTTCTTTGGAAGACATTTACGTTAACTGATGTTCAGGAACGGTTCATCAATCCATCAATTTTACGGGGAAACGTAAATCCTATATACATTATTACCATGGAATTGGTTGCCACTCAATAATGGTAATAAGAAGATTAGGAGACACCTTCTTAACTCTCTCGGTGCTATATATTAAGGAAATATTAATTGGATTTCATGATTTATATACTCTGAAACATCCACTCATTTTCTGTGTAGAGGACAGAGAGGAAGGGCATCATTTGTTTATGTGTATCACATAGGCCGGTGGTCTCGTAATGTAATCGAGCCACCAAATTCTGTCAGGAAAAACAAACAGGCGGTACATTTGAGGTTCGAGTCATCGGTGTTGAAATGAGCAAAAAGTTTTTAGGGGGTCGGCAATAAAATTAGAAGGGTCGGTCGGGCGATGAGAAACACAGAAATTAGAAATGCTGCCCGTGCTTGACATCCTACTAATTTTTAGAATGAGAATTTAAACAACTTCCATTTTCTCAAAATATAATTCTATACAGGTCGCGAAGACGTCTTGTGTTCGTTGCTAATGCATCATTCGCAGTAATAAATGACGACAACCTGCACATAATCGATAATGAGCCAGACAAATATATATATTATGAACAAAATATCATGCTGTTCGGGTACTATCACATAGAGCCATAAACTCACTTCAGCCTGGCAACAACCTAACCCACTGACCCGTCTCCACTAGCACAGTTTACTGGAGACCTATAGCTTTCGCCTCCACTTAAAGGTCACATGCAACGTAAAACACAACTTTGCAGATTCTGATACCTTTCGGTATGGACTTACCGAAACAAATCGTCAAAAATGCAAATTCAACTTATAAAGTTGAAAAATAACGCGATGAAAAAAAACGCGCGAAATCGGAGTTCAAACGATTCAATAATTTTCACCAGACTTTTCGGGGGAAAACTGGTTTCAACAGCTGGGCTGCGCTCATAGCACGTGCGCAGTGAAATAGGTTCGCGCAGCTTGGAAGCGGGTTGTCCGGTGAATACTCGGTGAAGGCTTTGGTGTGAGCTATTTTTCTAATGTTTTGTTGATATCTCACAGGCGCGAGCTTTTTATATGTTATGGCAGTAAATTAACTGTTTACATAATTTCATTTGTCTATTTCACCACACGTTCTTCTTACCGAGACACTTTCTCAGTTCGATACTTAAACGCAATGTCATTATTTAGCGTTGACAGAATTTCTAACTGTGATATAGCTATGTCGTTGTCACAGACAAAACTCAATGTCTTGTTTTATTGACACCTGTGTGTCTGCCTGCCTGTCTGCTAATGACAATATTCAATACACAGCTGCTATCACTAACCACATGCAATTTGAACTTAACACCAATCAGGCTATACACCATAAACAAAAATGCATTGATTTATGGCCCGAGTTCGGTCTCTGTCACATTATGTAATTACACAGACAGGCAGGTGTGATACTTGAACACATGACATGTTATGATGTCTGTTGATTGCAAAATGTTATACACAAAAAAATGAGCATGTATTTACAAAACCCAACATCTCTATATATACACACACAATGAGCCGTGTGGGCATCTGCAAATGAACCAGCCGTTACACTTGAGTGCACACCCACCCGCTCTGACTGGGTTCGGTACCCCGGCTGCTTCGTTTCTTGGGAAGTAAACCCAAGTACACAATATTGCACTTTTGATTTGCGATTGTACGCATATAATTTTGTTTATATGTTTTTTCATAACCACCAATGTATATAATATGTCATGAATAGTGATAATTGTGTTTTAATTATGTTTGATTTTTTGGTTGCATGTGACCTTTAAGTGACGATTGTACCTCGAGATATCTTGTGTACAAGTCTGCCTACTTGTATTTGACATACTTGAAAAATAATACTGCTATATGACAAAGTGTTCGCTTGTCACACCCAAGACCCTGGCTAGCTATTCTCGAAACGTTCGTAGCCCTACGAACTTCTTAAGCCCATTCTTAACACATTGGCTACGTTCAAAGTTAAAAATTCTTAGGGCTACGAACGTTTCGGTTCTCCCACACTGCACAATGTGTGAAGCCATATACGGTGTCGCCCCACTGTGATATGGTGGGATATTGCTATAGTGACGTAAAACCATACTCGCACACACATTACATACAGTCATATTACATACATTTATTACCTACGAGGGCGAACATATCGGGGTTCATATTTTTCATACGATGCCCTAGGGCAAAATGTCACTTTGTCATGGTGACGTGACGTCATGAACAAGGCTATGACGTCACGTTTCTTCTGTGACGTTGCGTTCTACATGCGGCGACGGCGGGTAGCCAGCCTGTGTTTGAAAGTAGATTAGGTTTTATTTTTCTCAATTTGACGACGTCGGTATTACTAATTAACAGAATATTATATTCGTGCCCATATCATACTATGTTTCCGACACTCGTGCCTAAATATCGGTATATCCCTCGCTCTCGCGCGGGAAATACCAGTATTTAGGCACTCGTGTCGTAAACATAGTATGGTATGGGCATTCATATAATATCCTCTATATATAAACCTACAGATCCAAATTCACTCCTACATGTTTCATGACTTTCTTCAAGTAGTAAATGAGAGCTATGACGTCACAATAGAAGTGACATAACAATGGTATGACGTCACAATAATGCAAGCTATAGGATAGTGATTTAAAAGCTGTGGTCGTAATTATTGAAATATTCGTCTTTGATTCGTCGCACTGTTCAATCATTTGTTTCCATTTTCTCAAATGGAAAAATCCTAAATTAATGTCTTTATTTATGCACAGGTGTCGAGGTGGGCACTAAATGGAAAACAACGAGTCTCTGGGTCTGTTGTTTGTTGTATATGGACCCGCACGTTATCGTTGAGACACTCAGTTTGTCCTATATCTTCCCCCAAACACCTTTGACATATACTGGCATATATGATGTGGGTTGTTGTTTTTTAATAACATGTGAGAACTATATAATTTGATGAGGTGCGAGTTATACTAAGTGTGGGTTGGCAGTGATACCTTTGCTAACCCAGCTGATTCCCTAGCTCGTTTGATAAAGTGGCGTAGATACAAAATCTGAAGGATGATGTATACTTGAACGTCTTGCCACTATATTTTGACGGCTTCACAGGTGTATCCTCTTTCCTTTCCGGCTTTCCTGTTCATTCGCCGGAATGGCAGCCTCCAGAGACCCCGAGATTATTATTATTATGTTTTACAGATTAAAGATAGTATGCAGCGGAGAGGGTTCGGGTGATCCTGGTACAGTCAGGCTGGTAAGGCTCATCATCAGCTCAGGGCCCTTGCCCCCTCTACACGCAGCCCAGACAGCGAATGGGACTTCTCCCAGGAAACACTGCCTAGTCTAACCCACCAAGAACTTTCTGGAGAATATGTAGACTCCCCACCACTGCAGCCTTCTGCATTACCCAGAGTGTCAGAAGGGCTGTACTCCCGGTGGAGTACCCGGGCACTCTCCTGATCTGCGCCAAGAGATCAGGATGTACCAAACCAAGGGCACCGAGAACAATGGGGAGCCTGACGACAGTGTACTTGGGATGCAAGCTAGACATTTCAAAGGCGAGGTCCGCATACTTTTCATGCTTTTCCTGAATCTTGCCAATCACATTGGTGTCAAAAGGGTCAGAAAATTCAATGACATAAATAAATTCATTGGCTTTATCAAAAAGGACACGATCAGGTTTGTTGGCAGGCGTTCTTCTGAGGCTGTATATGGGCCTATTCCAGAGAAGTTTGAAAGCATCATTTTCCATGACGCCCTGGACATGTTCAGGGTCGTACCATGGATGGACCTCAGGGTCAAAGACACAGGCATGGCGAAGACGGTAGTAAAAGCAACGAGCCATGTCATCATGTCTCTTAAGATATGCTGTTTGTGCCAAGGAAGGGCATCCACTAACAAGGTGTTGGACAGTTTCTGTAAATTCATTACACAGTCGACATTTCATATTGATAGTTTCCTTAAGAATCACATTTTGGCGATTACGAGTGGGAAGTGACTGGTCCTGAGCAGCAAAAAGGAAGCCCTCAGTTTCACATTTTAGACCAGCCGACTTCATCCAGGCGAAGGAGTCGGTGGGGTTGCTATTCTGTTCCACACACTGCATGTACACACGATGCAATGGCTTCTCAGAAAGTTTCTCCACTAAAGACCGACTCTGGGCAGATTTGGTGAAGGACTTCGCTGGATTTACTCCCCATCGCTGTATAGACCTTTCCATGGCTTATTTCATGGGCGCAGCCATTTTGTGGCAGCCATTAAGCGGCTGCAACGATGAACTGGTCTGTGCTATTTGTAACGCCGCGGCAATCTATGACGTTGCAAACAAGTCTAGACGGTGCCCAGTCAACGCTTACGCGGCGAAAAACAACGTCTACTTACTGGTCCAATTAGATTACATCTCGTTTTAGGGATTTCTGATGTCATGTCTAAAACAAACATTGCAGGTAAGAAATATTTAAAGTACTAAAGTTTAAAGAAATGACCAAGGTAATGTCAATATCATGTGCATTTTGTTGTAACTCGGCTATTGTATTGTGCACGAAAACTGAAGGCCTTTAAACGAAGTTGAATTTAACGTGAAACTGTATGTAAACTATAGGCCGCCTGTATCTTATAAGGCCTGTGTTCTGAATTTGAACTTGCCTGTATTTTCAAATATGTATAGGGCATTTAAATATTTCCAAACATATTCCCCTAATGTTGTCTTGTTTATATTTTGATTTGATATTTCAAGAACCATCGTCAAAATTTATTATTTAGCTATATAAATTATTTCAAGATTTACACACGGTAATCTCTTACTAAATGCTCACAAATGACTACGTTTTGACTATATCTTGACCAAATAATTTGTGAAAAATACCTTCTACTTTTTTATCTACATATTTGTGTTATTAAAAAGTACTAGTATATTTCTTATTTATCTCACACAAATTAAGACGTTCTCTTGTAACTAGAAGTAACAGCTGGTTAAATATAATTAGGTCAGATAGTTATCTCAATCTGTAATGAGGCTAGGTCAAATGTGATGAGTGGGTATGGTTATTATTGTACTTTCTGTTACAGAGTCACTACCTGAAGGCAGTGCCAAGTGGGTTACCAATAATACTGGAAACTGGCCTCAGATAGGATATGAAGATATTATTGACTACCTCATTAAGTCCCACTCATTTGATTCCAAGGAAATGAAAGCTTTTCGAGCAACATATGCATATAATTATGTGCAGAATGGATGGTTAGGTGATATTCAAAGCATTGTGGAAAATGAAGTTCATTATCTTAAAGCCTGTGTGTCACCCTCTCAGCCAGGAGCCTCTACAGTTCCTTACAATGCATGGATTGCTGCAAGGAAAGATGGTACTGTATTAACTGCATGTTGCACTTGCCCAGCTGGTCATGGAAGGTCATGTAGTCATGTTGCAGCCATTATGTATGCTGTACATCTAGCCTGGTTACATGGATATGCTGGTAAATCTTGTACTGATTTACCTTGTACATGGGGACGAGGGACTGACAGCAATAAATTACTCAGTGAATTAAAGGCCATGAATTTCAAGCATCCAAAAAGATCTGATGATCCCAATCAAGCTGCAGAAACGTCTACATCATCGAAAAGCAAGCCCTACAGATTTAAGCAGTTTGTTACCACAGAAGACTTTACTGAGCATGTAAATAATTCTCCACTTTGTTCTCTTTGGAAACTGAAGGGTACACTTCTCCATAAAACATTTTCAGCCACTGAAAATGTAAATCCTATCTGCAAGGAAACGTCAAATGATGAATCCAGACATGGATCTCATGATATTGATTATAGCAAGACTGTCACAAAATTGGAATGTTCTGTTTGCCAGGAATTTTATGACAAGTATGTTAATCTTCCAGAGTACAAAAGAGAAGAATTAAGTAATTTAACATTAAACCAGGGTGCATCATCAAGTCCGCTATGGAAAGACAGCAGGCGAGTAAGAATACCAGCATCAAAGGCCAACAGTGTACCTAAAACAAGTAGAGGCGACCCTGAGAAATTCCTGAACAATCACCTGTATGAGAGATTTAAGGGTAATGACAACACTGCTTATGGAGTGACCCATGAACCCATAGCAAGAGGACACATTATCAGGATATTTCTGGGAAGAAAGTAATGTGTACAGGAACTGTTATATCATCACATGAACCATTTCTGTCTGCTAGTCCTGATGGAATCATTGAAGATTCTGCAATATTAGAAATAAAATGTCCTACAACATCTGTGCATGCAATGATTGACTCAGGAAAAGGTGATGTTCGAAACATTGAGAGTGAACTAGTTCTTTACTCAAAAGGGAGAAATGGATATTTCACTCAGGTGCAAATGTGTATGTTCTGTACAGGAAAACATCAGTGCACATTTCTTATGTGGAGACCAGAAGAACATGACAGAGTCCTGCTTGATGTTGCATATGATTCCAGCTTTGTTGACAATACACTGTCTAGATTAAGAGCGTTTTATTTTAAACATATGCTGGTCCGGTTGGTTGATGACTTCAAGGCAGGTCGGTTCGTGTTGAGTGAGGAATACAAGCAGTTCTGTGTGTCACCGTAGCATGTGTAGAGTAAATAACACTATAACAGCATCAACACATAAATTACACAGCTATATCATATTGCTGAAATGAAGTTTATTACTTTTTCATGTGAAGTTTGTTGTTTTGTTAGAGCTGAGTCAATAAATTGCTATCTATCTAATTGATGTGATGTATCTACTATGTTATTGATTTACTGTTGATGTTTGAAAAGAATTTGTATATAACCTGTAAATGTGTACATTTCCTTCACTCACTGACACTCAAATGAATAGTATTAAGATCATAGTTGTGTATTATGAATTGCTGATATTTTATGAAGAAAACTACAGTTCAAGTCAAATACTATTTCACACGCTAAAAGAAATGTTTAACATATTTAGGTTGAATAATAAAATACAATGTACCAGTATGAAATGAATATGTGTTTTTGTTTTTAATGAACATGATCAGTATTTATATCTCATGTAATTACTCACACTTAAGATGAAATGTTTAACCCCCTGAAGCAGGAGTATTGTTGTCACACATATCATGGGACCATATATACAGTTACAGAAACTTGTGAGATTTTCCTAGTGGCCCAAGTGGTGATGTATCTGTAAAAAAAAAAACACTTTTGGTGATCACTAACTGCTATTGTTTTCTCCAAAATATCAGTGGCCCAAAGACAAAAGTGGTGGCCATCTGCCACTGGTAGTTTCTATCACTGTATATATGGTGCCATGCATATGGCAGTCTAAGGGTTAAGGTGATTTACAAGTTTGAATTCATTGAATATCTATAGGTTGGTATTTAAACATAAAACAGCAATGATAACAAAAATCAAGGTGAGGTGAACATTCAGTTTAATGATTTAAACATCAATTCAATGAGAATATGTATTTATAATTTATCATTCTTGTTGGTGAAATATCACATTGCAAAATCACATACATCTCATAAGCTTAAGCAGCCTACTAGATGTCTGAAACATACATGACTACTCAGTCTTTGTCCTTGATGAGTTCTGGTCTGAGGTTACACAGGACTGCACACACTTTGACTATCTTATCCAACTTTTGAACAGAATTAAGAGGTAGAACCTGATTCAATATTCTGTAAGACTTCAACCTGGCAATTGCTCTTTCTACATGTATTCTTACAGATGCAATTCTTCGTGTTTCTATACACTCTGTAGCACTCAGTTGTTTACGACCCTTCATAAAAGCAGGAATGTTCAGTTTCACTCTTCTAGCATAAAGTTCATTGCTTATTGTAAAGCCTCTATCTGCCATTACCTCATCACCAGGTAACAAGTAGTTTAGAAAACCCGAGTTCTTGGTGATATACACATCACTTGCACGACCCCATAGCATCTTGAAACATACATAATATACCCATTGGGAGCAATCGCAACAAGAATTTTGGCAGTATTGTGACTTTTTTATATGCACTGTAGGTTTGAGCTCTAACCTTCAATGAAAATGGACGTTGCAAGAACATTTCTGTACAGTCAATAATGCAGGTAGTGTGTGGATAGGTAGTCTTAAAGGACATTGGCATTGCAGATCTAATAACATCTCTTGGGAGCCAAACAATGCAATCCTTTAGCTTTCTGGCTAAAATTGAGATACAAATTCCAAAAATTTTACTTGCTAATTGCGTGGAAATTGAAAATCTTCTCCCGAGATCATGAAACTGAATTCCAAGCCTAAGTCTCATAAGTGTGAGTAGTGTTTGATCTGAGAGTGGCATCTTAATGTTTGACCGCAGTACAGATGTAAGATAAGTTATTATTGACAGAAACACTTGTAGAGTAAGACCAGTGTAAAACACAGAATCAGTGTTAGTCTTAATACTGTCTGCAGAAAAGGCAGGAAAATTAACCTGAACAGAGACATTCTTTGTTTTGGTCGTGTAGTGCTGGGTTGCATAATGGTGATCTACTGACTTGTTAAAATGAACCTGTACTCCTACAGTTCTGTTTGGAACTTTTATCATAGGTCTGTGAAGACAAAAACAAGACTTCTGTTTACAACAGTCACAATCACTTGGTCTGGAGTCATCATTCTCCTTTTCCTTCTCTTCAGCTTGAGATACAGGTTGATCTGTCAGTTCAGCTTCAGCATGGCACTCCTCAGTCAGTTGATTGCTCCTTGGGGTCCGAGAAACATCAGAGAGGGGTGTCGGAAAATGGTCCTTCTCCCTTGTGTCACCTGGAGAGAGGAAAGTTAAAGTATAACAGGCTATTATACATTTACATCAATGAACAGTAATAAATAGTTAATAACATAATTGTCAAAATAACTTTACGTTTAATACATCACTAGTAGGACTATATTGTACATTACATTAAACTAAAAGTACACTAACCTTTCTTTGATATCCCAAATTTAAGACTGGATCAGGATTTTGTTTGCTTGGATGGCCATCCAAAAAATGAATTGAGCATATCTGAAAAAAAGTTATAAAAATAAAATAATTACATTTCTATTTAGCCAATGTCACTCCAGTAACTACAATGGGTTATCACATTTTCAACAATTTTTTTCACTCCTGTTAAACACTAGAGCCGTTAAATAAAGAAATTCTTTACATCCCTGTACTATGTGTACACTAACGATACACGGAGGGTAAAGTAATTAAGCAATAATAAATTACATAATAAATTAATCCAGTAATGTTATTATTAACTAATTTTAAGGAAAGATATATTGAGTAAATAATGATAAATAGACTGTTTCCTCTCAATATTTTTGGGCATATTGCAAGATATCAGTAAGTTTCTACAATACAAATGTCTCTAGAATAATGATTTGTAGCACATAAGGTTTTAAAATGTTGGAATATTTTACTAGTAAAAATTGTCGTTCAACCCTTTGTTGCATAGCTTTACCCTACAGTGCATTCGTACCTCCTATACTGTAACATAGGAGGTACGAATGCTACGAGATCTTAAGCTTACGAGAGCTTTGTGAAACGGGGTCCAGCACTGTAGGCCCTACATGAATAACAAAATATCTAACGTTTCATTATCTCTAGTTATCAGATGGGATAAACTATTGTGCCACTAATTATCTTGATAAATACATACCACACTGCTATCAGATGGGTGAAAATCCTTCCGATTAACACGTGACACCCAAACACGACGACGATCTTCATTCACAGGAAACCTATGGAGATGATAGGGAAACAAACAAGGGCAGTCCTTCCGTGGCAGTTTATGGACTGTACAGGGCAATTCCTTCCATATACGTAGATTTCTCTGGCTATTTGTACAGTCTTTCATAGCACAAATTCTCCCTGATCCACGTTCATAAGGCCTACCTCTGTCCCGAGACATATTTTCGAAAAAAACAGCAAGTTGCCAGACGTAAAACGTCAATGTCAATTTGCAGCCGCTTAATGGCGGACGACACTAGCGCCCACCACAAAGGGGATAACTGAGAGTGGCACGAAGCACTGCTCCGTGGAAAGGTCTATATCCGTAGCTTGTCTCGAACTTGCATTCCAAGATAGGTGTAGGCCTGATCTTTCACAAGATGCTCAATAACTCCTTCACCACCACCACCCCACCCCCGTAACTCTGACCGATCCACCATTATTTACCTTGCCACGTTTCAAATGCCGAGTCCAAATCTTTGGCAAGGAGCTCGATGTCATCCATGTAAAGAGGATGAGTAAGCAGTGTTGGGGATCTGTGCTGAGGAGGTCCGGGATGGTAACCCTCATCTCTGTTGAGCAGAAAGCTCAAAGGATTTAGAGACAAACAAAAAGCAAAGGACTGAAGGAGTCCCCCTGGAAAATTCCCCTTCTGATTGGAATAGATTCCGAAGTCTGCACCTGCCCTTGCGAGTAGTCAATCCAGCACATGGAGAGGTTGCGGTGATATGTTTTAGCCTCTTCCAGAATCATTTTCTGTACAAGAAGTTGATCCTTGCACCCCCAACACCCCTTTCTCGCTCCCTTCTGCTCTATAAATTATATCATTAGCAGAGCAGTATGATGACACGAGGTTTGTCATACACCGTGTGAATAATTTGTATTGTGTATTTAAACATGTGATAGGGCGGAGGTTTTTGGGATCAGTCAAGTCTCTTTTCTTGGGGAGGAGTATTGTGCGACCTTTGCAGAAGCATGGAGGAACATCACCTGTGTCCACGAGAGAACTGAAGCAGTGAAGTAATGGTGTTTGGACACAGGGGAACAGTTTCCAGTACCGGTTTCGAATGCCATCAGGCCCTGGAGCTGTATTAGATTTTGACTTTATGATAACACTTCTCAGGTAATCTGGTGAGATGTAGCAGACAAACGACCCAGTTACTTTCTCATGCATTGCATGGTCATAATCACGGACCCATGGCGCCTCCAGGTTACAGTCGCCGGGTACAGACCACAACTGTTTCCAGAACCTTTCATTGGCATCCATGGGAGGCCGCTTATTCATGCTCACCATCACCGTTTGTTTTAAGTTGCCTGTAGAAGTGTTTTTCATTATTTCTAAAAACTAATTGTCTCACCAAGTCAGCACAACCTCCACAGCTTCCACAACAGGGAAGCAGCCACACACAGCCTTCAGGTAATTGTCTCACCAAGTCAGCACAACCTCCACATCTTCAACAACAGGGGAGCAGCCACACACAGACTTCGGGTAATTGTCTCACCAAGTCAGCACAACCTCCACATCTTCAACAACAGGGGAGCAGCCACACACAGCCTTCGGGTAATTGTCTCACCAAGTCAGCACAACCTCCACATCTTCAACAACAAGGGAGCAGCCACACACAGCCTCCAGGTAATTGCCAGGGCTGTAGTTACAATTGTCGATCTGGACTTTCACGTCCATCCTCAAATCAGCAATACACATCATACAAGTCACCATTCCTGTTAGACTGGGAAACCAGTAGTATGGCTTTTTTATTTGAACTGACCACATGCAATTTGGCAGGATTTATGTCTTGTACTGTCAAAAATGGTTAGGATCTATTTTATCCCTTTGAACCCAACTAGCAGGGCCATAGCAGTTACACATCCTGTCAATGCGGCCTCCATACACCCCCTTTGAGGACAGAACCACACTTACACGCAAGCCTTGAAAGCTAACTTTGATCTCAGCAAAGTAGATCTGGATGACACTCAGAAATCTGCCTTATCCAGACCTCTTAAAGTCGACAGAAGAGTGTTTGCTGTTGACAAAACTAACCTATATTCACATAGAATAGACACACTGAATGGTTCCAAATCAGTTCACTTCTATCGGAAGAGCCTTGAAGGCAAAGCCGAAACTGATCGGCAGACTAAGGAACCTCTAGATCTTAATCCCCATGGCAGACACCAGTGGTCTTGGTCATGTAGAAATTATGTGAGATCCGTTTTTTGAATAAAATTACTGTCCCAGCTTCCTATCATTTACCTCACCTGGAAGATACAGTCAATGTTGTCAGTGATTCCCATGCTCAAATATTTAATTACACGCATGATTTGGCTTCAGGGTTTTGGCAATGCAACTTTGCACGTTCTGAAGCTCTCTCCAAAAATGTATCAAAACTGTCCCTTCCAAAACAGAAACTATTTGTACATCTACCCCTTCATTCACACCCCCAAACTTTGCAGCTTTCATGGACTGTGCAATTACCTTAGAAAATGTCACTAAAGTTCTTGCAAGTAGCAACTATGCAATGACATCTGTGAGTGGACAGATTGGATTATAGGAGGGAAACTTCACACAAATTGTAACACTGAGCACTGGTTTGGCCTAGTTTGACTCCAGGGATGGCCGCATTCCACATTGAGTGAGTGAGTGAGTGAGTCAGTTAATATTTAACGTCACATCGGCGATATCTCAGCCATATCGTGACGAAAACAATTTATACAATAAAAAACAAAACATTTTGGAGAGTAAAACCTGTCGACGACTGACAGTAAAAACACTCAGTATCACAGATATGAACATAAAACTAGCATGTAAAACTGAAAGATTTTGATTTAAGAAGACAATACAATATATATATAAAACACGGGCTATAGATCGCCAACAACTGAAGGTAGATCACCATACTAGGAACCATGGGTCCACATTGAGTGATGATGGTGATACAACACTAGGTGGGGGAATATATAGCTTATTTACACCTCTGGAATCGTAAGAAGTTGTTTATATCTACCACCATAGTAATCATGGAATATTTGGCTATTTTAAATTTTTGCTCACCCTGTTAACAATCATTGGCAGCAAGGGGATGGTGTAAATCTTGCGGGGATACAATGCCATTTCCAGTAGTGAGTTTAGTTTAACGCCACTTTTAGCATTATTCCAGCAATTTCACGGCGGGGAACACCAGAAACGGGCCGCATTGATAAGGAAATGCATGCTTCCTTTGATACTGTAATATAACCAAAGACGACTTTGAGTGAAAATGCAGGGAAATGTGTTTCAGAGGTTTTGAACAACTGACAATTGCTAAAGCAGTGGCAAAACAGAAAATTTGGAAGTTGTCCAGGAGAAAACGAAACATAATTATAAATTTACTCCAAAGCTAAAGAATGTACTTTTGATGAAGGTGACAAATCCAGTCACTGTTTATAGAAACAGCCACACAACTATAACCAACGTACAAGGGCCCTCATCTGATCAGCAGAAATAGACACTTATCAGCTGCACAGAGAAACGTTTAAAGGGATACCACCACACACTCATGCAAACAGGTTAAAATCATTTTACGTGCAAAACACTGAACTGACACCGGTGAATGTTGATACTGATAAACACCAGGATGTTCTACATGCCCATCAAACATCTGAACAGGATGTTGTAAGCTTTGCATCCTCTCCGTTCCTGGTAGATTTTACCTTGGACCCAGCCTCAGTAAACTTAGACTCAGTATTATTCGTTACACTGCTATACTGAGTCTAACAAAACCTTGTGAAAGGTCGCGTCAGGTAACCTTTCCAATTTACCAATCGGAACATAGCTTGCCAAATCGCGAAAGTGGACATTCGCGCATACCTTTTGAACTTTTCCTCGAAAATGTTTGTACCCGAACGATTCCGAAGCTATTTTCCGTACGATCGGTTCCTAGTGATGAACCCCACAGCAGTGAGTAATCATTCGCTGAAAATAGCGTTTTGTCAGTATTAAAGCATGTCAACTTGCAGAAATATTAGCTAATTATAACCATGTCAACAGGAATCAGTGTTTTATGCGGATTTTCATTTGTTGGGAGAGCAGTGTTGGCGGCCGGGGACGAGAAAATCCATTTTGTAAGTCCCGCCGAACCTTAAATAGTAGCCGTTGTCTGATTGGCTAAATACGTTCGACCGTCTCGCCTTTGATTGGACGGTCATAGGTCGCTCAAAGGTTACCTGACGCGACCTTCTACAAGGTTTTGTTAGATTCAGTATAGCAGTGTAACGAATAATACTGAGCCTAAGTTTACTTAGGCTGCCTTGGACCATGCTATAGTCACTGTCTACATTTCAGTCACTTCTAATACTATATTTTTTCCTGTGTTTCGCTTTTGAGGTATTTTGCTAAAAATATCACGAGTCCTGTTCTTATATGTTGGATATTACCAACAGTCCAAGATACGTTATCATTTCAACTGCCACACTTACTAAACTTACTTATTTACCCATGAGTGAGTATGGTTTAACGCCGCTTCTAGCAATTTTAGAGTGAGTGAGTTTAGTTTTAGGCCGCTTTTAGCAATATTCAAGCAATATCACGGCGGGGGGACACCAGAAATGGGCTTCACATATTGTACCCATATGGGGAATCGAACACGTGTCATTGGCGTGACGAGCAAACGCTTTAATCCCTAGGTTACCCCACCGCCCCGAATTTACCCATATCTCGTAATGTAAATATGTGAGGTGAAATTGGGTTTAACGTCGTGCTTGAGAATATTTCGCTCATATGACGACGTGCATGCGTGTGTATGTGTGTATGTGCGGCTGCTTGTACTAGCCCAGACTTAAGCTGGTTTTATAGTGCTAGCCCACTGAGATTCCATGCCGCAGTGAAGCATCAATACCCCACTCAGACATATTCTACTGACTCCGAACCGACCAGTCCTTGTTGTACCCATTAATGCCGAGCGCCAGACAGGGATCAACAAGTACCATATTTTAACGTCTGAACAAGGGATACTGTAGTGTTAAAATGAGGAAAGTTTAGAAACATTTCTATTGCAATTATTACAGACTCGCCCACCATGTTCCACTATCTTAAAACTGCCACGGGTCACATTGATAACGAGCGTGGGGGCACAATCTGGGACCAGTATCTGGTATGTGCTGTTCAGAGACGGAGTTGAGCTTACAGATCCCATGTGCGATATTTT